TTATTAAAAAGTTAAGCAAATAAACACTATTAAATTGCTTGAGTAAAATATTAATATAGTGTTATACATTCGTTACATGTAAAAAGAAATTAATTATTGTTGATTTTAGTAGACATCCATCACAAGCGGTGCCCGTAATTATACACAAGTCAGAAATTGAGATCGTTTCGTCATATAGGTACCTGGGTGTATATTTGAACAACAAGCTCGATTGGTCTGAAAACACAATCCAGCTGTATAAGAAGGGTCAGAGCCGCATTCATTTAATTAAGATGACTGAGGTCCTTTAATGTGTGTCAGACACTGTTAAAAATTTTTTATGACTCTGTGGTGTCTTCTGTGATTCTGTATGCTGTAACCTGCTGGGGAGGGGGACTGCTGAAGAAGGAGAAAAACAAATTAAATAAGCTTATAAAAAGGGCAGGTTCTGTTGTGGGGTGTGCACTACCTACCATAGAAGAGATTGCACAGGATCGAATGCTGGACAAATTTGTTAGTAAAATGAACCACGATAGTCATCCCCTTTTTGATACAGTCCAAGCGTGTGCAAGCTCTTTTAGTACAAGATTAATTCAACCCCGGTGTTACAGAGAAAGATACAGGAAGTCTTTTTTTTACCAACAGTGATCAGATTGTATAACCAAAGTCATACCGGATGAATTGTGCTGAACTTGAATTAGATATTAGATATGTACAAGTGTTTACTCATTGTTTTTGGAACCAAGGTGTGCAGTATGAAATGTAATTTCATTATTGTTTTTATATGTATGTATCTTATTTATCTATTTTTAGTATGGAGAGCTCTGCTGTGACGTGTGAATTTCCCTCCGGGGATTAATAAAGTCAAACTAAACTAAACTAAAAAATATTTTTATTACATATAATGTATTATTGCCTATATTAACTTGCTATTATTTCCTTTATTATAAATTAATCCATTATATAAATTAAACCTGTCCAATTTAGATCGTTCAGCAAGCCGGCAAACGAGTATCTGACATAGGCCTATTATTGTTAGATAATAAAGACTGATCAGCTATAATGACTGATAAAAACTGTTCAGTCTATTATATTGAGTGGCGATCGGAAACAATGCTCCCCATTCCCCTGTATCGATCACAATATTTGTGAAATAAAGTAAACACTATTGTTTATTGTGTACAATATTTATTAACCATATATATCAAAATATATCGATGATGATGTTCAAAAAGACGCCAATAACATTAACATCCGTCAAAACTATATATGGTTTGCCTAGATTGTGTGTGCCTAAAACGTGTGTGGTTCTACGGGCCTGCAGCTGGATATTATTGGTGATAGACGGCAATAACTAAAAAACCTCTAACCCTAAAAAGATCTAAAGTGTGTTTCCTACAAAAAGACAAAGCTGGTTATGTTTCACAGCTGTCTTTTTCTTTTTTTCGCTCCATATTACGACCACTGCTCCATTTGAGCCCTCGCAATATGCGTTTAGCCAGAAGAGCTCATTTTGGAAGTGCACTTTCTATCCATGACTAAAAGGGGCATGTGCACTGCACAGTGTGTGCTGCCCTGTGTGTGCACCAAACGTGGTTGTATTTACATTAAACGCATAATGTGAGTAAAGGGCTTGTTTCAAAATAACTTTTTAGAAAATTGTCATTCAGCATAAAAATGTTTGAAAAATGAAAGACTTATTCTGTATTTTTACTTTTTAACCTCATTATTTCATTTGAAAACCTGATTTAAAGTATACTGACAAAGTATACAAATTTTAAAATGACAATGAATTAGCATTTTAGTGGGTGTTTTTTTGTAAATCATGGTAAATATGTAGGATAGATATTGTTTTTTGCACTGAATGGTATTTTATTGATTTATTGTATTATAAGCTGTATGACACTTACTGCTTTGATGCTTGAAACCCATCTTTGACTTTTAATTAGGGTTTTCTTTTTATAAACACAAATATTAAAAATTAATTAATCATTTTAAGGCTTCTTTTATGTTGTCATTTAGTATCTGAAATGTGCTGATTTAACAAAAATTTCAGGCAGTTTCACGATGTGTTACTCTGATAAAACACCTCATTAAGCTGAAGCAATTAAATCCTTTCTTTGTTAAATGAATTGGGCTGTGTTTGTGTGCAGAGACTCTCTCGGCTGATCCGGAGGTTCTGCTGCAGATTGATGGTGTAACTGAAGACAAACTGGAGAAATATGGAGCTGAGTTTATTGAACTGCTACAGAAATACTCTGAGTGGCAGCTACCTGGTGAGGCTCTGACAACACACACTGCTCATCTTCACATAAATTAGGTTCTGAACATGAACCAACTAAATAATCACGTTACTTTTTGAAACTTTTTTTAAGAGACTAATATCCCAAATAGATCTAGCTAAACTTGAAGCAAATGTAAAAATGCAAATATATGAATCTCTTACCTTTGGTTGGATTATTTAGGTAGTGCTGTACAAATTAGATTCATAACATTAATGTAAATACAAGAATTGTTTATTTTAAATTAGCCAAAATGAGGGACAAATTCTAAATTGAAAAGTTTATTAATGTGATTATGTATTAATAATATACAGGGTGATTCAAAAAGAATACCACAATGAATACCACAAGAAAATCTGTATTTAATCAAAATGGAATGATGGAATCTTGGGTAATTAATTTGAAGAGTGTTTTTCAATGTGAAGTTTTTTTCAATATGACTCCCTTTAAACACTCGAGTGACATCAACACAGTACTCCTTCCACACTCTTTGTAGCATCTTAGGTGTAACAGTTTGTATAGTTATTCCTTGTTTTAGTTCCTCAATGTGAAACTTCAAAGTTTCCTTAAATTGATGACAGACAGAGCTTAGCTCTCCTTTTCTTCTTTGCAGAAAATCTAAATTTTCAAAGACGTGGTATTGTTTTTCAATCACCCTGTACTATAGATGCTCTGATTTTACTGGCTGATATTTAGATTAATTATATTCTTTTAAAATGCACTTTCTCTTAGTAGTGTATATTCCAGAATGGAATTGTTACCTTTTTACCATCTGAAACGGCTTCAATTCATGTCAAGTATGTACAAACAAATTTTAGTTTGATGCTGAATCCACCATCTCGCTTTTAGCTTTGCATTAAATTAATTTGTTTAGGTTTTATTTAGGTTTAGAATAAATGTTTATAGTAAATGCCACTCTATATTTTTTAATTGTATTGCTATTTTTAATTAATGGTCATTTGAAAAGATCTGTTGATAATTGATGGATTGTAAAAAACTATTATTATAATTATTTTTTTTTTTTTACTATTGTTTGGCTTGTTATTAACTAGCCAAAAAGATTCAGATGGCTGTGCCCACTCATGCGCGAAGAATAAGGTCAATAGTATGAGTTTAAATTGTTATAGTAATAGTATTGTTTTTACAATTTGTTTTTACGTTACACATTTGGATGTGTGTACTATAAAGCTAAATATTATGTCAACTCCCAAGTTTACATTTACTGAAAACTCCTAAATATGTCAGTGTGTTTTAAACTCAATTTTATTTTTTTTTTGAGGACATTGATGGATATTTATTGATAATTCATTGATAGTTGATATATTTATACACTTTCTTTTGATTGGCCAGTGTGTCATGATTTAACAAGATATTTTCAATGGAAGAGATTTTTATTTTTATTTTTTTAAGAAAATTATTTTTTAGTCCCTGCTTCAGTTAAATGTTGTAATTTTAAAACTTTTATCTCTCTCCTTCCTCTAGACAGATTATATCATTTGGTCAACACATTGGCATGTTGTGTTTTCTTCACTTAAATGCACACCTGCAGAAATCATTTTCATGGATGAGCTAAAGTGTTCTAGAATAATTATAATGGTGGTATGAAGCAGAGTAAAAGGCTGGAAGCTGTCAAAATGATTTAGATTTGTTAAAATGCTGCTCTATGCAATCTAATGAAACACAACATATTAAAGCGACTTGGGTGTTTTCTATCTAACTAAAACAGAAATTGATGTTGTATGACAATTAGCTTATTGTCATTAGCATTAACGGAGTCCATGTGACTAGTTAAATTAGTGCTTATTTCTCCATATTTGAACATTCTTTGACACATTTGGGATAATGGAGGTACTTCAGTTAGCAAAAAATATAACAATGTTACAATGATTTTATAATGTTTTAATTCAAATATTGTACATACGCCTTTTAATTCCTTAAATGATCACCATTTGCTCTTGAAAAGCACTTTAAAAATGCTAAATTTAGCCTGCCAAAACCCTGAGTAAGTACACATTACTTTATTAGAACTGACCAAAGATGACACACTCAGAAGAAGACAGACTGCAGTTTTGATTTGGCAAGGTCTGCTCATAAACTGGCATTGTAAAGCAGCTCGTGTATCTGCCAGCTCAAAACTGCAACCTATAAAGCAGCTGAATGAAGCATCTGAAGAGACATGATGTCCCCTCTCTCTCTCTGCAGCTGAAGCACAGGCTGAGAGTTCAGGCTGGATCGACACGACCAGAGGCCATCAAAATGATGAAGACGACAACGATGATGATGATGAAGGAGGTGGGGATGTCACATCGACATATTTCAGAAGCAACTCTGGACGAGGAGCCAAGAGAAAGCAAGGCTCTTACTCCAGAAAACCCAAACGAAGAAAAGGCTCCAGTGGCCAGAACTCCTCTGCAAAAGGGTCAGCATGTCTCTTGTATGTGTGACTTGTCATATTAGCTTTATGACATCAGAGTAACTTCCCCTGTCCTTTCTTATTGTAGTGGATATAGCAGTAACTGGTCTTCATCACGAGGAGGAGGAAGAGGAGGTGGATACAGGGGTGGCAGTCGAGGAGCAGGCCGAGGCTCCAGATCTGCTCCTTCAGGCTCAGCAGCAAAAAGGCCGGGCTTCATGTCGTTACCAACACCGCAGGCTGCTGCTCGTCCATTCCTCAAACCGTCCTTCTCACACCTCTAGACAACAACATATTTCAGCTGGAAACATCAAGTACATTCCCTTTGTTAATAATTGTCATTTAAATGCATTTTATATATGTATATTTTAATAAATACTTTGTTTTGTGGACTTTTGTTTAATTTTAGTATAATATTGTTGCAAAAATTAAATGTAAAATATTTGTTTTAAAATATGAAAGCCTGTGCTTATATTGTGACTTTCTTAACATAAAAACAAAACTCGCCCCATCACTACAGATTGCTATAGATTGAGATGTCATTATAATTTGAAGTACCTTTTTGACAATAGTTTAGGGGAAAATGCCAGATAACCAGTGGCATTTAAATAGAATACCACCATTTCACTGGTATATTCTTTAAAATATTGTATTAAAAGGGTTGTATGTAATTGACCCTCTAATTTCTTTCTCACAATTTAAAATGTATTCATTTTAATGTGCCTTGTAATATATATTGTGACAATATATAATGATGATATACACTCACCGGCTACTTTATTAGGTGCATCTTACTAGTACCGGGTTGGACCCACTTTTGCATTCAGAACTGCCTTAATCCTTTGTGGCATAGATTCAACAAGGTACTGGAAATATTTTTTATAGATTTTGGTCCATATTAACACGATAGCATCATGCAGTTGCTGCAGATTTGTTGGCTGCACATCCATGATGCGAATCTCCCGTTTCATCACATCCTAAAGGTGCTCTATGGGATTGAGATCTGGTGACTGTGGAGTCCATTTGAGTACAGTGAACTCATTGTCGTGTTTAAGAAACCAGTAAGGGGTGATTCACGCTTTATGACATGGCACGTTATCCTGCTAGAAGTAGCCATTGGAAAATGAGTACACTATGGTCATAAATGGATGGACATGGTCAGCAACAATACTCGGGTAGGCTGTAGCGTTGACTCAATGCTAAATTGGTACTAATGGGCCCAAAGTGTGCCAAGAAAATATCCCCCACACCATTACACCCCCACCACCAGCCTGAACTGTTGATACAAGGCAGGATGGATCCATGCTTTTATGTTGTTGACACCAAATTCTGACCCTGCCATCCAAATGTCACAGCAGATATTGAGACTCATCAGTCCAGGCAGATTTTTCCAATCTTCTATTGTTCAATTTTAGTGAGCCTGTGTGAATTGTAGCCTCAGTTTCCTGTTCTTAGCTGACAGGAGTGGCACCCGGTGTTTTTTTTTTTTCTTGTGTGCCCACAGAACTGCCACTCACTGGATATTTTGTCTTTTTCAGACCACTCTCTGTAAACCCTAAAGATTGTTGTGCATGGAAATCCCAGTAGATCAGCAGTTTCTAAAGTACTCAAAACAGTCCGTCTGTCACCAACAACCATGCCACGTTCAGTCACTTAAATCACCTTTTTTCCCCATTCTGATGCTCTCTTTCAACTGCAGCAGATCGTCTTGAATGCACCGAGTTGCTGCCATGTGATTAGCTGATTAGAAAATTGCATTTACAAGCAGTTGGATGGGTGTACCTGTGAGGGTGTATAAATACTGGAGAATGTAATATTTGTTGGGTTCAGATTACCCAATATAATGTTTTTCAGAATCAATTGTTCTTATACAGTGTGTCATAGCAGATGAAAAAACAAACACCACATCTGGGACACTGATGTACTAACATAAAAATTACTTTTATTTTAATTTAATTTAATTTATTTATTTTTGGTCCTCCATGCCTGGTTCTGTTATGATTTTCATTACCCAAAGCACATAAGCTCTTCCATACACACCTTTCAAACATGGATAAATGAAAAAGTGAGACCATCATCATGTTGCCAAATTTTTTCAATGAAATGCCACTGTCAGGTATACATTTTTTTGGAGGATTTTTGGGTGATGATTACCTGTATAAAATACACTGCTTTAGTAGCTGTTTGTTTCTGGAAATTGAGTAGGAATAAAAACTGCATAAGCTGACACCGTAACTAGTAACAGAGAAAAATATAGTTTTATATAGTGTAGTCTGAACCCAGGATAAATAAAAATAACTTTGATGTCCAATCCAATCGATTCATTTGATAATGAAAATGGTTTGTTCGTTCAAAAAGCCATCAAACTATCTGGGTGACCTGATTTTTTCTTTCCCTACCTGCAAAATCCTGGAGGGATTTACAGTAAATCCTGCAGTTTTTTTTTTTAAATACTAGTGGGAAGGACATTCGTGTTCTTCCAATCTCCTTTTTTCATCTTCGGAACAAAAATGAAGATATTTTAGGTTAAATCAAAGACGTCCCTCTCATCTGTACAGTAGATGGCAACTGTCCTGGCAAATTCAAAGTCTGGTAAGAGAACCCAAAACATTCCACGTGACTTCAGTGGCTCAACTGTAATCATACAAAACTCCAAGAATACTTGTGGCAAAAAACGTTCAGACTTTGTTTGCCAGTGTCTTGCACTTTAGATTTGGGTTTGTGTTTACTATAAGCAATATAATGCTTGTTTGTCACACTACTGGCTTGAATGTCAAATGGTGTATATTGCCCATTTGGTGTAAATGCACACCCTTGTCTGATGCGGGAGATAAGATCTATGTTTCACTATGTTTGTTGTTTTTGTTGTTGTGCACAAGTGTTCTTGGAGTTTCATATGATGACAGTCATGAAGTCGTGTGGAATGTTTTGAGAATGATTTGGGTTTTATTTCTGGACTTTGAATGCCTCAGGACCATTGCTCTCTATGGAGGATAAGAGAGCTCACAGATTTTATCTAAAATATCTGAATTTGTGTTCCATAGACAACATAATCAGGGTACTTTTGATTAGCTATTAACAGGTAATTAATAACAGAATTTTTGTTTTTAATTAAACCATGCTTAAATGGGAATGTGTCTGTTTGAGATCTGATCATAACTTTGTAAACAGGGCTATACAGAAAGGCATTATTATCTGTACATCACACATTTAATAAGCTATAAACCACAAGATATCATAAACACTTTTGAATGTTTATTTCAAGTTTGAATATTTCCATGGCACCAGTTACAAGGGACTATCAGTGAAACAATTTCTTATACCATTTTCATGGAAGGTTTCCTACAGTACAAAGATGATGACTTTGGAATGAATCTGACTTAACAGGAACTGCATTTGGCACATAAATGCTGTATATATTTTAATATTCATATATTAAGGAACTAAACAGCGACATTCAGTCCCAAATAGAAAATATGCATATTACAGAAAAACACGCCCACAAACACGCATCTATGCATCAACACATGTGCATGTAAATGCATAGCTGTTGAGGGGACTGGCAAACTGACAGAAGCACAGTACAGTAAATAAAGCGTGATGCCACCAATGATATTTACTGGACCTCTGCGCCATAGTGGATCTTAAAGCTACGGTTCAGGTGAAGTCAGATTTTACCAAATAATTTGGGAGACTGTATGCAAGCATGTAAGGGCCATTCATCCTGATGATGATGATGATGAAGTTTAAAGTCCCTGGTAGAATGATCATCAAAATTAAACCAAACTAATCGAAGAGGCATTTGGAGGACTTCTTGACTTTAATAGCAATGAAGATCAGCAGCTGTAGCCAACAATCCCAGATCTTGAACAATTAAATAAACATCTTTGAAGGGTTGATATGACTCATCATTTTATACATGCTATTGTATACATTTTTAAGCCAGAGATTTACAGTAATACTCCTGAAAACCTACTGTTCATTTGATGTCATGGTAAATGTTCAGCTTCCACTTAACCTTCTCTATTTATGCACTAAGCAGAATGAAATTGATTCTATACAAAGTTCACAGAGGGACCTTGTACAATAACCCAGTTAGTTTCAAGAAATGATGATCCAGTTTAGCCAGTTTAGCTGGCAATTGTCCTTTATAAGACCCTTTCATTCATCACAGTCAAACCTGGCCATTCTGTACTTTACAAGAAAACTATTTAGAGACAAAAGTAAAAAGTAGGAGCCTACAAGGACAGTAGTAGCAATCGCCCTTGAGTCATCGAGCCTGCGCTAGTTTAAATGTGTGCAATGGGATTTCAAGGACGAAGAGAAACATAGGCTTCAGGATCCAAACAAGATGACAAGTGCTTACAATGAGTATAAAATGTAGCAAATTTTGGCAATAATCATCATATAAAATGAGTCGTTTAGTTAAAATCGTGTCCAACTCCAATTAAATGGATTCATTCCAAACTCCTTAGAAAACAGCAGGTAGTCTGACTTGCTACACAACAGCACAAAAACCACCAAAACGATTCATTCCAAAGAATTGGGGTATTGCTTATTGAATGGTGCTGCCATGCAGGACTGACCACTGAAGCTACATAATGCTGTCAATGAGTAAAATCCAGTCTTTTCCCAAACCCCTCCTGCTCAAACCCCGCCAGCCTTTCTGATATTCTGAACCAAATTCCTTCATCAATGGCATGCAAGTGGCCATCAGTTCTATTATTGTACTGCCAAAACAACCATTAAATCAGATTATTCAAAAAATATAAATGGACTTAAGTGCCACAATGCTGTATTATTTGGCACATTGGAGATGTTATAAATGCATGCATGAATACTTCTCATTGTAAGAGACATGCATCACTCCAATGGGTCTCTCTCTCTCTCTTTCCCATGTATTAGCAGTTCCAACAGTTTTCGCTACTGTTTCCAATGAACCTTTTTCTCCGGTAATGGTGGAAGACAGTAGTTCTATGAAGTGGTTATGCAAACATTACTATTACACTTCTTAAAACATCTCTGACAGTAATTAACCAAGTTCACTAGCACCAAACAGGCTTCATTGTTTCTGACCTCATACACGACAGCAAGTTGTGATGGGTGGCTCAAAATGTGTTCTTTTTAAATACCAGCACTATTTAAGCCACAAAAATAATGCTATAATGAAGCTTGTTGAATACCAATGAAACCCCGCTTTGTATAATAATGAATTACTACAAGTATCTCAATCCTGCTCTTAATTGAACTGTACACAGAAATCTAGTCTTTGTGAATGCTTTAATTCACATCCTCTATTTTCCAAAATGCAAAAACAATTATATCATAGCAATTTCAAAAGGACAGGCATAAGAGGTGGTGTATGGTAAAAATCCCTGTCCAACTGGCATGCCACTGGAAGAATGGTGTCTTTAAATAAACACTAAAGACATCTTAGACTAGTCAGGACAAGTGTACTGAAGACTTGACCTTTTAGTACATATTGCCAAAAATGAGCATATACACACACACACAGCCTTTCAGATAAACTGCGTATTAACTGATTAAGTGTTCAAATGCAGGGCCTTTACCAATATACAAAGCACAGGGACTGTTTTTTCATTGCTGGTTAAGTGACTGAATTGGAAATGGATTGTGGATTTGGTTTAAAAAAAACTCTTTCTTTTGTCTCCCTTGACAGATATACCACATATTCTAGACCTCATCTGAAACACAGAGCTAAAAAAGGTATAATTTAATTTTCAATAACAAAATAACATTTCAGTTTCTGTTAAAATATACATGGAAAAACTGTCGATATATTAGGAAACTAACTACTTCTTTGTACAAAAAGTACAGCATTATTATTGTAATTAAGAATAATCATAGCATGATCTCCACAAATTACAAACATAAGAGCAAGGCTAATATGGAATAAAAAAATACTTTATACAATGGGATTTCTTTCTGTTCAGAAAGACTCAAGATGGAAAATTCAAAAATAATCATAATAATAATGAAGCAAATGCACATACTCAAGAAAACAAAGTATGCACTAATTTCTTAAACCAATCCCTTGCAGTATTGCACATCTACTGTAGCTAGACTTGATCTATGGGTGCTAGTTGCTTTTATATCAGTCATGAAAACCTCTTTAACATATACTGACACTATTGGGTCACGTGACAGAACACAATTTATACCAATTCATTTTCTGAATTCATTAGAAAGAACCTTTTTTTTATGATTTCTACTTCACAGCTTGCTATCGCCTACACACTAGTATAGTCCTAAAACGCATCGGACACCCTAAAACTCCACCAAATACAGAACTCAAAGGTACCCATTAATTTTATTAAAATAATTTCCAGTCTTTCCTCAAGTCTTACTTTCAAAATAACTTGCACATTCTTACCTTACATATAACCCTCTGCTGATCTGATCATTGATGTGGTAAATTATAGCAGCTTTCAGAAAATCATTAAGTATTAAATGACTGGTGATATGAATAATGCATAAACTCAGAAAAGCATTGGTTTCCCACATTCTCATACTTTCCAAACCCACTATACTGTATCAACTTATCTCTTTCCTCCACATTTAATAAGACTTTAACAAGTATTATTGTAAAATAAATATAAATGAAGGCAACGTTCTCGTTGCAACAAAATATTTCATATTTCCTATTTAAGGAACGATAAAATCTTCTCAAGTCTTTGAATTTTTTTCTTTCTTTTTTTCTTTTTTTGTAAAAATAAAATACCTGAAATGACCTGAAATCCAAAAAGTGGAAATCAAAAGCAAAATAAAAATGACAAAAAAAAAGACGAAAAAAATTAAAAATGGAGGGGGAGAAAGAACTTAAAGTGGAAGAGAAGAGGAGCTGTGGGCCTGGTAGTCCACCACCACGTGTCAGCAGGAGTGTCATGAAAGAAGCTGGGCTCATGGGACAGGTCGATGCCCTCCTTCTGTCTCTCTCGTTCTCTCCACGTGTTTAGCATCTTCTCGACCCCAACAAGGGAGGCTTTATGCGCTTTAGTGCCTCAATTTCACTTGTTAATGAGCAGCCCGCCCACCCAGCGGAGCTTGCAGGCAAACCACCGTCTGAGGGGACAAAAGTATTCGTAATGGAACTGCTCAAACTCGGGGGTCTGGCGGATATCACGTAAAAATGCAATGTCAAGATCGGACTCGGTGAGGACGATGAGGAGGAGGAGCAAGACAAAGAGGAGTCCAATGGTCACAAGGAGCAGACGGAGTACACTTAAAACAAACTTATTCACCTGTTCAGCTTCACTGAGCGGGGCCTCCCTGCCAGCGATCTGCATGGGGCCCGCCGCCCTACTGTCTGCGCCAAATTCAGCCACATCGCCCACGGAGGGCGTACCCGCCTCCGACTCCTTCTCCTCCTCTATGCTGCAGGGGGCGCCGTTGATCTGGCGTGAGACTGCCAGCTCCAGGCTGTGCTCTGCTACTGGTGTGGGCAGAACGCTGTCGGAGGGACTGTAGCTCTCATCAGAGATTATCGCTGTCCTGTCACCGGAGTCCGTCATCTGGCTTCGCGAACGTGGCATAAAGGAGTCGCCATGGGACACGGAGCGCACTGGAGTGGAGTGGGCACTGTCCCGCAAGGATTCCAGTCCTGGACAAAAGGAAGGGGAAGATATGAGAGAGAAAAATGGCAGTTTAGTGGTTGTTAAATGTTCTTTCTTTGAGAGTTTGTTAACCTGCTTGAAATGGGTTGGCTATGAAGTGCATTTGCAAGAATTTGCGTGCATGTTTTGACAAAAAAACACATGGTTCATCAGAAAATGTATGATTAGTTTGATTTAAAATATGTAAAACCGTAGACAATTTATAAAATAATGCACGTCAGGACAGATCTTCCATATTGGTACATTCTTATAAGGCAAAACTGAATGTGAGCTTGCAAAAGATTGTAAAAAAGTCTGGCAAAGATGAAAAAGAAGTCTACCCCTTTACTGAAATGCTGAATTATAATATGGTTAATTGAAAATCAGTCAAAATAAAACACCAAAATAAATGAAACTCGTGCATGTTTTCAGTTACATTTTCATTTCAAAGGTTCAGACCTGAGGTCCCTTCACATCAAGAACAATAACTAAAAATACATTTACACTGATGAGCTACGACATTGCAACCGCCTGCCTAAGAAAGTGTTGGTCGTCCTTGTGCTGCCAAAACAGTGCCGTCCTGCTGAGGCACAGAATTTACAAGACCCCTGAAGGTGTCCTCTGGTATCTGGCACCAAGACTTCAGCAGCTGATCCTTCAATTCTTGTAGTTTGTGATGTTGATCCGTCTTGGATTGAACCAGCACATCCAACAAATTCAGTTAGGTTGAAATCCAGGTATGTAGGAGGCCTGGACACCACCTTGAACTCATCCTGTTCTTCAGACCATTCCTAAACAATGTGTGCAGCTTGGCAGGGTCCATTATCCATTTCCTCAAGAAGACAACTTTGGGATGAAAGAGCATACCTGCTATTTAATAGGTTTGGATAGACATCACTATGCTGCCGTTTCACCTAGCGTTCTGAAAAGATCTCCTTCCACACTATACTGCTGAAAACGCACATCTCTTTACCTCACACACTGTCATGCGCTGCAGTGTAGGCTATGTGCACATCTGACTCTGAGCTCCAGCAGTCAGCGCAGAAAGCAGTGCACTTCGGACAGTTTATCAAGGATGTACCACTGGATCGCGTCTCACTATAGTTGTTAAACGTGATATTTAATTAATTTTGTCTCTATAACGACTCTTCTGTCTTTTGAATCTATCAGGTAACGAGTCACAGCATCAGTACAATCTTCAATTTCGCTTTCATGCTTGTGCTTAATATTTTTAGATAAAACCTCAGATACTGTTGGTTGTGCACCTTTTTACCAACCAAGTTCATCGACGCCATTATAACGACACAGATCACTGTGCCTATTCATGCCAGAGTTCCAAAGAAAAAGTGATTGACAGGTGGTAATTTGTGTGTGACTTATCTTTATTTATTTATGATTTGGTAATGGGTAAAACAAAGACCATGCAGGTAGTTTAAACGGTAAGCTACAAATAATTTGATAGGAACTAATTAATTATTCAAAACAATTTATTCACTGCCACCTACGACGACAATGCTATTGTCCTTCACAATGTTTCACATTAGACGTCGTACGATGCCAAATTGGTTGCAATCACCCAACCCTATTATTCAACAATGTCAAATTCACTTCAATGGTTTCTCAGCAGAACATTGTATCACACTCCCTCTGCTGACTTTGCCATAATTCAAAAGTTTACACTTAGATATGCTTAGCATTATTGCAGAATTGGCATGCTGTCCCGGGAGAGAACCCTGAGCTCGGAGATATTTAAGCCCAGGGCTCCTGCCCGGTCAATAAGCATATCAGAGGATACGAGATCAGGAAGGTTTCGATAGTTCCCCCTTTTGAATGGGGAGAAAAAGGAGGAGATGGGGTGGAAGGGGGGATTCTTCCGAAATGAAGATAGGGAAAAAGGTTAGAAAGTGATCCATTAATAGTAGGCTAGGATCACTCGGATTGGATTATTACTGATTACAAATGAGTGGCCAGCTGTGCTCAATCATATCACGTGCTCCTCTCGAAATTAGTTTATGAAACTTCACTTCCATCGTGCATCCTGGTCCACCATTTTCTTGGCAGGTGACTACAAGTACCTTCCATTGCTCCAAGGCTTGTGTGTCCATTGTAGGCACTTTAAACTGTGGACAGGGGCCTGCATAAGTGACCAACCTGCCTATTTTTTCTGCATCCAACACAATGACTATGCATAGACTGAACTGATTGTTTATTTACCATGTGATCCAGCAGTTCTCAATCAATTCAGCAGGTTCTTGTGACTTATCACCCCCCAACCACTCACTCTACACATCTTGCAAGTCACTTGTTGTTTGTCACATCATTCAGATAACCTGATTGACTTTAAAAAGCTTCTTAAAGTTATTGTGTTCCAATTGACATGTTCCCTACAAAGTGTTCACTGCTCTCTACCTCCTGAGAAACAGGCAGAACTTGAAGTTTACTTCATTTCACTTCAATAAATATTTGCATTACACAGATTGTTGCATCTTCAGATGAATCTTGTTACAGAAGAGTGAAGAGTTATATAACTATAATCAGGAGATTTGCTTAAGTCACATCACTCACTTTATTACCCTTTCAATTCAACTTGCAATATCCTGTGATGTCCACTTTGCACGGCACTTAAGGTTGAATGGAACAAAGCTCTGAAGCAGTAAGAGGACATTTAAAATGCAAAAAGCGGGACAGTCGTGAGAGTCAGGATTGAGAACTAGTCACGTAATCTACCCAGACCTTATTATGTGACCATATTCGATCATCTATGATATTTGCTTTACCTAAAAATGGTCAATGTATTTACCCATCAGTGTAATTCAATACCTACAACAGCACCAACACACACTGATATTGTTTTTTCATAAGCGCATACTGAAGTTATATCATCTGCCATTATAAATGCTCAAGCTATTTAGGACATGATGAAATCTGATTGGCTGTCAGTGTTTATATTATTCAATCTGAAACTGAGACCTCAAAGGGGTCATGTCATACAATCTGACAAGCAACAATTGCTAAGGACAGGGAGGGTAAAAAGGAGAAAGGGAGCACTGAGCTTGATGGGGATTATTAGAAGGGTCTCATGCAGGTGACAGAGCTAGATACTGAATCATAGGCCTGGAGTGCAGTAATGTGTTCAGAGCTCGGTAGACTAGAGTGCTAATGTGGAAAGACATTTTTCCAAACCCCCACCGGCTTCAGTAAAGCTCTGGGAATCACACATATTGACAGGCAACAGGCAGACTTACTGAGGTGCTGTAACAATTAGCAACATATGATAAATCAATAGACCTCACTATTACACAACACACATTTAAACATACAGAATGCAGAACATATTCTTAAATAGCTACACACTTAAAAGGCTCATACAGATGCAGACACATTCAGAAGTTAGATGATATGCATATGCCAACTCAGCAGATATAAAGTCAGGTCAATTAATACTGAGACCTGCTCATTGTAATAGGGGAATAACACACCTTGCCATGGAGCAGCTGAGAAACCAAGTGTCTTTTGGTGATTTAACAAGTGGGAGGCAAATATGCAAACTGTTGTAATTCCTACGGCGTTCACCTGATTTAAGTGTAGATACCCTCATATTAAAGCTGACAATATGCAGGTAAAGCACATCTTGTTAGTTTCATTTCAAATCCATTGTGTTGGTGTATAGAGGCAAAAACGATAGAATTGTGTCCATGTGCCAGTATTTATGGACTTGAGTGTATCTATTTCTGGTCTTAAACATAACTCTAACGTCCTGTTAAGAGGATTCGTCACAACAAGAGGCCACTGAGACCCTAAAGTGAGGATGCTGCAAATCTCTCATAAATCCTTGTGCTTCAGTTCTGACATAACCGCTTCCTCAAGGAGCTGAAAGTTCAGAAGCATAAGCTTTTGCTTAGATATGCTACATTTCTATTCTGATGTGAAGGGATTAGGATTTCACCTCCTGATGACGTGACATTTTACTACCCAACCAAGACTTCTCATTCACAATATTAAAGAAAAATGATCACAGATGAAAGCGCATCTGCTTTGGTGCATTTTTCAGGATTAAAAGAAGCCTGGAATTCAACAGCTCATGTAAAAGCCTACAGATGTATTTACATGTACCTCTGTATGAATAATTCATACTATTGTTCACTGCTCTCTGTTCATTATAGAAGAACAGGCAAAGACTGGCTACTTAAACATTTTCAGAGCAGAATCTGGCAGCAACCAACTAACTAGTCTATCTTTGTTTACATTAATAGCGTTCTACTATTATCACTGTAGTCTGGAAAATATTGGATCATTTCTCTTTCTGTTTTTGATCTCTAAACTCCTGAGTTTATACACTCGCTGGCCACTTTATTAGGCACATCTTGTCATTACCTGAATGAATCCAATTTGCCTTTATTAGTGCCTTAATAGTGGCATACATTTTAGAAGTTGTTATAGTCTGCACAGATAGCCTTGTGGACAGTGTGCCAACATGAAGCGCATAATTCTCCAACTTCAAGATGTTGCTGAAAAGATCTCGTTCCACATTAATATGAGTTTTACAGTTGCTGTGGTTTTGGTTGGCTGCACATTCATGATGCAAACGCCCAAATATACTCTACTGAGCTAAGAGCTGTTGGCTGTTGTGCCGTTTAAGTTTAGTTAATATTTTGTCATGTTCAAGGCTGCAGTTTTAGATGTTTTTTAAAACTGTGACAACCTTTGTCTTCGTGGTGAAATAACTGGTAGAAGACTGTCACATGTGTTGACATAAAGAAATGGACATAATCAGCAACAATTCTCAGGTAGACTTCTATCAAGGTTACAAAAGCCACACAACTGAAACTCACTGTATATTTTGGCTCATTGGTCATTCTCTGGAAACACTATAGTGATCTGTGCATGAAAACCTCAGTATTTCAGCATTTTATAAAATAAAACTCAAACCAGACCATCTGACATCAGTAACCGAATGATTTGCCTTACTCTGAATAAAGACAATAATATGATTAAGGTGTTTACATGA